CACAAAAAGAGTCTCGACTTCTTTTCCAAGTGAATCAACTGGAGTAGATCTGCAATTGGGAGTTATATTTTGATTGGAATGAAATAAATTCATCTGATAATTCAATATCTGTGCAAAGGAAGAAGATACCATCTCAGTTATTTAGAATTTGCTCCATGATTAAAAACAGTTTCTCTAGTTTAAATGTGGAGAAAGTGGGCTTTGAAAATCTCTCTCCTTGGAAGAAAGATCTTGTCAGTCTTATTGATTTAAATATTAGTCAACTTTCAAAAGAAGTTCAGACTGAACAACATTTAAATCTTCTAAAATAAATGAGAAATAAAGCAATTCTTATATACACTGATGGCTCAAAATGTGAGAAAACAGGCAATCTTGGAGCTGGAATAGCATATTCAGAAAATAATAAAAACTATATTCTTGATTCTTGGCAAATTGGAAAAGAGTCAGAAGTTTTTAATGCTGAATTATTTGCAATTTCAAGAGCTTTCAAATTGGTTGAGATGAAGATTGAACAATGGAAAAGATTTGAGCATATTTAGATATTCTCTGATAGTCAAGCTGGGCTTAAAAGGCTTCAAAGTAATAAAATCAGCAGTGGACAGTCAATGCTAGAGCTGATTTTGAAAAGTCTTCAAAATATTCAAAGAAAAATCTCACTCAATTGTTCTATTCATCTTCACTAGGTGCCTGCTCACATGGGTATATATGGCAATGAAATGGCTGATAAAGCTGTAAAAAAAGCAACTGAATTAAAAATCTGCTTTGAAAGAATTGTAACATGGGCTTATATTAAGAGAAAAATAAGAGAATCATGTTTGCAAAAATAGCAAGATATCTGGTTCTTACAAAAAAAGAGTGTACATTATTCCAGGTTTGAAATTAAGCTAAAATGGAAAGCTTGGTCAATAAAATGTAAAAAGAAACTTTTTGCTACAATAATACAGCTAAAACTTGGACATGGTTATTTTAAATCATATTTAACAAAGATTAGAAATGATTTAAGTAATTTATGTTCACATTGTCAGTTATATGAAAACCCAGAGCATCTTTTTTTACTTTGTACAAAGCATACAGAGTTAAGATTGAGATTGAGAGAGAAGTTTGAATTGGCACAGTTAAATTTAAAACTTTTGTTCAATACAAAAACTGGAAATGAATTCTTGATTGAATATTTGAAAGAATCAAATATTGCTACAAGATTTCAATTGAATAGTTTGATCTGATAATGAATTTAATTTTTGTTTTTGTTTTTTTTTTTTTTTTTTTTTTTTTATTTCTATGTATTTGCTTTAATTTTTGTTTTTGTTTTTATTTTTATTTTGTTACTTTTGCTTTGAAATTTATTTCATTTTGATTACTTTTGATTTTGACTTGTTTTGAAAAGTTTGATTTGTGAATGCTTTCTTTTCTTTTAATAGCTGCTGTTTTTTATACTCTTTATTTCATTTATTTTGAATTGAATGTATTGATCTGTTGTCATTCTTTTGACATTCTTTCTTAAATTGAATAATTTGAATAGTTGTTTGATTCTGGGCTAGAATTCTGCTATTACATATATTAAATTGACTTTGTATATTAGCTTATTCTTAAGTTGAAAAATCCTGAAGTATTTCAGGTAGATGTCATAGTCACTGACTGCATATATCTATAATGGGAAAATAATAATAATAATATAATAATAATTCA